CACGTGATAAAGCTTGTTTCTTCAAAGTATTATTAACATTTTTATTTTGGAACGAAGCTAGCTTTTTCTGTTGATTTTCGTTCTAGTTTTTGATCAAGTAAAGACGATAACATTTGTTGTAAATCTGCTAAAGAACAATCAGTTTTCATGTTCAACGGCCTAAGGGAGGAAACTAATGGATCAGTGGATGAATGAGTTGCTCCCCTTGAATATTCCTCATCTATGGGTTTTGCAATTTTATCTAAAGACCCTTGTAAAGCGCAATATTCCAAGTCTAATGAAATTGGATGTTGAAATTGTACATGTTTTGAAGTTCAAAATTTCCTAAACCATGAGTATATTGATCTATTATGCACGGCTCAAGCTGGCTTCAATGTTATAAAGCTTTTTTTTCTGAGTTTTGACACAAATCTCAAGATTTTCATTGGTCAGTGAACATTCTCCTTACTTACAAGCTTAGCTTAACACAATGTTCAGCTGGATATGACCGATAACTTTTTGTGAGTTGGGATGGGACAGTAAATGTCATGTTAATGTTGTTGTTTTTTATAATGTCAGACTTCATACCCAAACAATGATAGAGTTTTAGCATCATCCAACGAACTATTGTTAGTTTCGTCAATGCTAATATCAACAGCAACTTTGTTCCTGGAAATGGCCATCCAATTGATTTGATCCATTTCTACAACTTTCAGTCAGTTTTTATGATGTCCTGTTTGAGGCAGTTAAAATATCCCTGTTACGATTTAAGATTGACTAAATCTTTTATCTGTTTACGCTCGACTATTCGAAAAGTAGAAGAGCTATTGTAAATATGAATTTTGACAGAACAATGGCCCTTTAAAAAATTATACTACATTATTCAGGCTCTTGTTTTACTATTAAGCACTGAAAACAGTCGAGTGCACTGGCTGGTAGCGAGATTTAACATTGTCTTTCGAATAACATTCACTAAAGACACTGATACTGTAAATAGGTAAAAGTTCAGGCAAAAACATGCGAAAATTAAGTTTAACCATCGCCAAGATTTTTATATTTTGATTCGCACGAGGATTTAAGAATGAGAAAGTATAAGCATTTGACAAATTCAACGTTGAATGGCGCGAAAAATTTATTGCAAGAATGTAAAATCTTGATACTTTATCTATAAAAGTACAGAAAGGCGGGGCAAGACCACCGGGGAGGAAGTGTTACACTAAGGATGGAGTTCTTATGATAACTTGTTCAGGAGTTCTTGTGATAACTGTCACGGAGTTCGTCGGAAAACATCTGTATATACTACAAAAAAACTCGCACAAAAATGGTTATTTTCATCGTTCAAAAATGAGTTTAGGTGCTAAATTAAACTTTAATGATTAAGCTTGCCTAATATCTTGTATTATGTGTCAAAAACTAATTCAAAGACTATTTTTCGTCGCCTCTTGCTTCAAATCTGGTAGTTTTGAGTAAAATTTCCAAATTAATTGCCTATTCACAAGTTTTGACCTGTTTATTTCTGGTCTTCATCCTTGCCAAACATAATTACCTAATAATAATGCAAAATTGCAAACATAAAGCACTGGCTAACAGATTTATATCCGATTTTTCAAATGTTCCGGAATTCTTGTGATAACTCTGAAAATGTCACAGAGTTCTTATGATAACTTTGGTTACTGCCAGAGTGTTTCTTGCGCTAAACCACGGCACGTTTTGGCGTTTATCATCATTCAATAAGATTGTAAATCATAACGTAATGCAGTACGATCATCCTTTGCACAAAAAATGTGGATAAAACGTTGCTCTTAAGTGTCTTCAAAGGATAAATAGATGATTATCTATCTATTATCTACAGTAAAATTTGAACCAGTTAAATCACAAAACAAAAATGTTTCAAAACGTACACGTTGTTCTCAGTTTCATATGTTTTAAGCAACCACCTTTCTTAAGCAGACAATATATAGGCATGATTCCCTTACCTAAGGGCTAAGTAATTTGTATCATTTTATACCATAATGAATAAGTATATAACCAGGATATATTCCACACCTATGTCTTAAAAAGTACGAAACATGATAAAAACTCAACTGAGGTTGGCTCTAAATACCGATCTCTCGAAAAATATTGAACTGTCCCTCCAGGTTCCAGATTTACCTAAAATGGGATTTCAGTTATTGTACATGGGCATTCAAAGTAGAATTACCCAGGTTTTGCTTGTAAGTGCCGCAAGTTCTCTAATGTAACTTAAAACAACAGACATATTAATCGCTGTACTATTATAACTGCTGTTTTACATAGAAAACAAATGTTTCTCTGATTGATGCAGTAACAAAGATGCTTAACTGAGAAAAAATAGACTGTATGCCTGGATGAAAATGATAAAGGGCCAGAAAACTGCTAGGTGCCGGAAACTGCTAGGAAACCAGTACATAAATCCTTTTTCCAGTCTACGAAATCTGCATCAAACAAAAAAATACTATGAAAAAGAAACGGGGGTAAGAAATAATATCATTTGAACTAAAATTCACTCAAAACCAACATTATATATCCTATTTTTTGCGCGAAGGATGAGCGTACTTCATTTCATAATGATTTACAATCTCATTGAATAATAAAAAACTTAATAAAAGAAACAAACTTTCCACATTTCCGTGTTAACCGGATGTTTCTTTTTTCTAAAGCACACAGACAACCATCATGTGGAGGTACAACAAGTCCAAAACCCACCCTATTCTAAACTGTGCAACAGTCATGTGTTAAATAAGTTTTAAATGGCATGTATGCGCCAGTTAGTTTGTTACGTTTCTTTTTACTAATAATGTTTTCATTATTCATTATTTACTAAGACTTATTTAGTTTAGATAATATAAGATATAGTAGGGAGTGCGGTTTAACGATGGAGATGGAGATGGTTAGTCACTCAAAATTTTGATTTACTAAAAAACATACACCTTGCACTAATGCTCCTCCGTACATAATACTTCTCAAGATTATCAACAATCTCATTGATGTAGAGACCGAGTATCAAAGAACCGTAACCCTATATTGCTTAATCTTAAATAACCTCTCTTTATAATGCTTGGAGAATAACTTGAGCAATCGGAGTTTATAACTTGAGAGACAGGAAGTACAGTATCAAAAACCATGATTCTGACTTGCTGAAGTTCTTAATGACCCCCCTTTATAATATTATACTCCAAAATGCTAAAAAAATGCTTTCTCGGGGCATAACTTCTACACATTCAGACTTCAGAAAGTAATAGAGACTAGTGAGAGGGTCGAATTGCATAATATTTATTAGTGCTTGTGCAAAGAATATCTTGAAAACTTTTGTAAGAATTTGATTAAAACATTACACAGTAATAGAGATTAACATGTGTACATAAGCCATAATACTACCTTGATTAATTTTTAATTATTTCCCTTTATGATAATAAAAAATTGGCTGGTACGGAGTTTAACTTCTAAACTGTCAACAAAGTCTTTTTTGAAACTTCACACTAATTAGATGAAGTGCAGGGTTAAAGAACAATAACTCTACATAATTAAGTTTTTGATTAATCTAACTTTATGTTACATAATACATTTTGTCTGGGGAATAACTTGAAATGTATTGCAAGATATTTATTAACACATGATCTAGAGACTAGATAAATGAAGTGTTCTGTCTAAGATTCATAATGCATCTTTGCTTGATTTTTAGCTCGACAAATCGAACAAAAAGTAGCACCCGGATGTGGGCGTCGGCTTTACACTTGGTTTAGCGTTTGCATGCAAAATCTACATTATAAATATTGAAGGTATTCAAAAAACTTAAAATATGTCTTTGGGATAATAATTGGAAGTTACTTTCCAAGTCAAATTACTTTGTCGTGAATTTTGACAGAATTATGGCCCGTTGTGAATTTAGAAACAAATTTAGTAACAAAGATGCTAAACTGAGAAAAAATAGACTGTATGCCTGGATGAAAATGATAAAGGGCCAGAAAACTGCTAGGTGCCGGAAACTGCTAGGAAACCAGTACATAAATCCTTTTTTCCAGTCAACGAAATCTGCATCAAACAAAAAAATACTATGAAAAAGAAACGGGGGCAAGAAATAATATCTCTTGAACTAAAATTCACTCAAAACCAACATTATATATCCTATTTTTTGCGCGAAGGATGAGCGTACTTCATTTCATAATGATTTACAATCTCATTGAATAATAAAAAACGCTAAAACGTGCCGTGATTTAGCGCAAGAAACACACTGGCAATAACAAAAGTTATCATAAGAACTCTGTGACATCTTCAGAGTTATCACAAGAACTCCGGGATATTTAAAAAGTCGGGTATAAATCTGTTAGCCAGTGCTTTATGTTTGCAATTTGGCATTATAATTAGGTAATTATGTATGGCAAGGATGGAGACCAGAAATTAACAGGTCAATACTTGTGAATTGGCAAATAATTTGAAAATTTTACTCAAAACTACCAGATTTGAAGCAAGAGGCGATTAAAATGGCCTGTGAATTAGTTTTTGACACATAATACAAGATGTAAGACAAGCTTAATCATTTAATTTTAATTTAGCACTTAAAACTCTTTTTGGAAAGATGAAAATAACCATTGTTGACAAGTGTTTTTATAGTATATACAGATGTTTTCCGACGAACTCTGTCACTGTTATCACAAGAACTCCTGAACAAGTTATCATAAGAACTCCATCATTCGTGTAACACTTCCTCCCCCGTGAAGACTATAGGAAAGAAATATAACATATCAAGAAAAGTCCTTTAACTGGCCCAAGCAGGACACTATACATTTCAACTGTATTAAACCCACTAGGAAAGTAACGGTTATTTAAAAGTGTCATCTTACAGACATAAAGCGATCACAATTTGGCTGCAATAAGGAACATAAGAACATTTTGTTGAAGATAAAGTGCCGCTATTTTATTCTTTTTTCTCTCTCTAGCTATAAGCGATGGATTAATGTGCATGTATTCACTCCGCCACCCCAAGATTTGATAAAAAGTACAAATAGTTTCTCCATATCTTAATCTGAAGTTTGACGAACTGAGCCGTAACGTTTCCGTATATTGAAATTTGCGAAGATATAAAAATAGAAATGCAGTGTAATTAAATAAAAATTTAAGGATAGGTATTCAAACTGCTAGTGGCTTGATACGAATTTAAAGAGGTAGGTACATTTCAATTTTCAATTGACTATTTAAAAAGGTTTTTGTTGTTTTTTATGCGCAATATTTTTGCTCATAATTTAATACATATCTGAGACTAAAAATCTGCATTTAAAATAAATTTTAAAACACCTATTTGTCTGATACGCAGATGAAACGAAGACCATATATAGACAAAGTCAGTCATAGAATCGCTAAACAATTTTGTTGCCTTTAATGAGAATAATTAAGCCCCATTTTCTAAAAAAAGAAAATAAAAAAAAAAATATTTACGTTCCATTGGTTTGTTTCATTTGCAGTGAAAAAACGATTGTCTCAAACAAACTAGATAAATCAGTTTATAAAAAGAATAAAAATAATTTTCAGTTAAAGCTAAACATATATTTTTATTTTAAATTTAACAAGAATACAAGTGTTCTCGTTATAATCTGAGCACGATAAACAGGTATTTATAGTAGTATTTTCTTACGGGGCACGCGTGCCTAATTATAGATAGAGCTATTAATAGACTTGGGTTTTTCTATTTTTCGCTTTATATACTACGGAAAACCAGCTAAGGAATATATATAGACTAGTGAGCCAAAAATAACCTTTTTGATAATATCTCATAATTACAGAAGAGCATTTGTGCCAGGTGTATGTTACTAACTCGAAATTTCGACTTACTAATCTCAAAATTTCGACTTACTTACTCGAAAGTGCGACTTAGTAACTCGAAATTTCGAGTTAATTTTCTCGAAATTTCGACTTATTAACTCGAAATTTTGACTTAGTAACTCGAAATTTCGACTTACTTAATCGAAATTTCGACTTATTAACTCGAAATTTCGACTTATATTGCACGACTTTCATTGGTTACCGGTGAAAGCAAGGATTGAATTCAAGATACTTTCTTTCGTGTGTAGCTATTGCACATTGACAAAGCACCTATGTATTTAACAGAACAATTTAATGGGGTCAAATTGTCCACACATACTAAACATATCCTTCGCTTTTGTGTGTGTGTGTGGGGGGGGGGTGTAAAATCACACTTTCCACATTTCCGTGTTAACCGGATGCCCTATTCTAAACTGTGCAACAGTCATGTGTTAAATAAGTTTTAAATGGCATGTATGCGCCAGTTAGTTTGTTACGTTTCTTTTTACTAATAATGTTTTCATTATTCATTATTTACTAAGACTTATCTAGTTTAGATAATATAAGATATAGTAGGGAGTGCGGTTTAACGATGGAGATGGAGATGGTTAGTCACTCGAAATTTTGATTTACTAAAAAACATAGACCTTGCACTAATGCTCCTCCGTACATAATACTTCTCCAGATTTTCAACAATCTCATTGATGTAGAGACCGAGTATCAAAGAACCGTAACCCTATATTGCTTAATATTAAATTACCTCTCTTTATAATGCTTGGAGAATAACTTGAGCAATCGGAGTTTATAACTTGAGAGACAGGAAGTACAGTATCAAAAACCATGATTCTGACTTGCTGAAGTTCTTAATAATATATATTCCTTTATAATATTATACTCCAAAATGCTAAAAAATGCTTTCTCGGGGCATAACTTCTACACATTCAGACTTCAGACAGTAATAGAGACTAGTGAGAGGGTCGAATTGCATAATATTTATTAGTGCTTGTGCAAAGAATATCTTGAAAACTTTTGTAAGAATTTGATTAAAATATTACACAGTAATAGAGATTAACATCTGTACATTAGCCATAATACTACCTTGATTAATTTTTAATTATTTCCCTTTATGATAATAAAAAATTGGCTGGTACGGAGTTTAACTTCTAAACTGTCAACAAAGTCTTTTTTGAAACTTCACACTAATTAGATGAAGTGCAGGGTTAAAGAACAATAACTCTACATAATTAAGTTTTTGATTAATCTAACTTTATGTTACATAATACATTTTGTCTGGGGAATAACTTTGGGATAATGATTGGAAGTTACTTTCCAAGTCAAATAACTTTGTCGTGAATTTTGACAGAATTATGGCCCGTTGTGAATTTAGAAAAGTTTTGTTTGTTATATAAATCATTCATAAAAATACTGATTGTAATCACTTTAAACTTGATGGTCTGGACTGACAGATGGACGAACAAGGCCATTTTAATTCCCCCATCCGATTTCTTTAGCAGGGAATGATAATGTAATTGGTTTCAGCGAGTGTCGTTATGGCATATGTTAATCAAACAATAAAAATACAATAAATATAATTAATGAATAGATAGGGACAGTCCACTCTGAGGGTTTAAATGGCACGTACAACTCTGAAAAAAATGTTAACAAGCAAACAAACAAACAAAATGCAATCAGTTTAGAATGTAAAAATAAAAATTATATATATCAAACACCATAATTGACCTAAATTTTGCTTGAAAATATACTTTTAGTTATTAAGAAACATGCTTGATTTAAATCCTGTAGAATAAAGAAAATGATCATAAATGTACAAATATCTGACTGAGAGAGTGATTTTATTAGACTCGATATGATAAGTATTGTCCTTTTGTATTGATAACTTAATTATATTACAAATGTATATATTAGAAACTCATACAAGTCATATTTACGCAGGGTATCTAACATTATGGAAATAAAGATAGTACACATAGCTTTGTATGGGATAGTAGTTATATTGCTGAAGGACTTGACAGTAACAACGGCAGCAGCAGTATGTCCTGCCGATACAAAATATGATGATAAAGAGAAGAAATGTGTGTGTCCTACAGATATGTTTTTTGACCCGATTGCCAAATCATGTACATACTGTTTCCATATTTGCAATAACGCAGAACTTCAGAGAACCGAAGACGAGTGTAATACATTTTGTCCGGAATATCACTTACCAGGTAAGAATGTTTTTTATAGAGACCCTTCTTATTTATGAAATCAAGGTAATCAAATCGATGTGTTAAGGCTTGTAAAGTTTCTCGACATGAATAACAAACGTGACAACATTGGAACTAACCACTTATTTGTGTATGAAAAAGTGTATGACAAAGAAATGTTATCGGCTGAAAACCAATGCACTTGATTTATACATACATTTAATAAGAATATTGAATATTGAAACCAAATGAAGAAAGCTAACCACTGCTTGTAGAATAAGTTTCGTTAAATTCCATCGAATAAATTAATCTACAATTGTAAAGAAAGTACATACATATCTGTCACAATACATTCCCTTTTCAAGTACATATTTATAAAGTGTATGATATGTTTTGGAAAATATAGCAATGGATAGGCCAGTAGTGGAGAAAGCTGATGCTACAGATGTTATTTGTTCCGGAGGCATGTATTTTGATGAAACGATAGAACAATGCAGCTGCATGAAGGATGAGTACTATGACGAGGTGACCCGAATATGTAGTGCTTGTTATGGTATATGTTCAAATGCAGAAATCCAAAACACGGTGGATGATTGCAATTCAAGGTGCCCGAACTATCACTTGCCATGTAAGTTGATGTGTGGTTAAATTTTACTATTTGATACATGTATAAGAACTAAGACAACATAAATCGAATGTTTATCTTTTCTTTCAGATACATTTCTCTATATCCGTATTCATATCATTTTAGATATCGTTCTTATTTAAAATCATAGGTGTTATGTGTACAATTAAAGTTATTTACTCTTACCTAAGTACTAATATACCAGACACCTTCTTACAAATAACATGCCAGCATAGGCAAAATTAGTTAAAACACCGTTAGCAATGAGGTCAAATTATATAAGAAATGGCGCATGCTCATATATTATGCATAAACCATGCACAGTGTCACTTTAATGCGATGAAAATAACATTTCCTATCCTCTTAATAAGCATTAATATTTTCATCGATTTCTGTTTAACTCATATGAAGACGTGCACAACTTTACAAATTTTAGAATTTACCTTAAGTATGGAAGTGTATGATTTGTTTTTTTTACTACTTTTCGGATACTCTTTATTTCAATTAATAATAATTTATGTTGGTATCTTTTCAGCTTCTACAACGGTATCACCACCACTTACCATGAGTGATGGTGTAAGTACAACTACGATGGTAATATATGTATGTATTACTGCAGGGATATTTGCTACCTGTGCATGTATTGCATGTATTGTATGTTGCTGCCGCAAGCGGCTGGAGCCCAAAGGTATCATTCTTTCAAATAGATACAATACACTTACAACTTTATTCCAAAATAAGCTCAAGTAACAATAAAATACATAACTAATAAAACAAAATGATTTATTTCAACGCTGTGGGTTGTTTCGCAAAAAGTTGACTAGAAGAACAGTTGAATCATGTATGAATCGTTCAAATGTCATAACAAATCATATTCAGGCCATAAGTTTATGATTTCCTGTCACAAATGTCAAATAAACAAATACATTTTGTTTTGAATGTTTTGAAAACAAGTTGTAAATATTCTGTGTCATATTTTTTATATCAGTAACAGCAGATTGTTCCTTGATTTTTATTTTCAAGTTCGGCAGTTGTATTCCACGTTGGGCCATTTACTGCCTTGTATAACAAGAGATGGAAATGGCGATGAAGTAGAACATGATAGGCATAATTATGTCGTTCAGCTTGCCATCAGGGACAGACCTTCAGGTATCATAAATTAACGTATTTCTTAAACCAATAGACCGATATATTCAACGCAATAAAAACTACTCAATGTTTTTTGTTTGTGCCATTCACATATGGAAGTTTTAAGTATACAAAAAAAAACCGGCTCCTTTGAATTGCGGCGCAGACTTTATCTGTAGAAGAAATGGATTGTTTTAAGTTCTAAGTTTGCTAGATTCCTAAGAGCGTTTGATGTATTTACATCTTGTTGTTGAATCAAATCATAAGTTAATTATTATCTATTCAGTGACCTTAATAGATTAACGGAAAAAATATTCATTTATAAAATAGTGAAGCTATGATGATGACTTTTTTTATACCACTTTTTTTGTAAACAAAATATCTTTTATTTAAAAAATAATATATCCCAAGCAGTGATTTTATCGCTCAATAAAATCAATGTTGAGGAATTATATCATAATGATGAGCATTCGAACTCCAAACACTGATTTTATCCAGATATAAAATCAACGATTTGGATATATTATTTCGATTCTAACACGACATTGCGCCTAATTTGTTTCCATACTTATTTTCAGCGCGTGGCATTTTAGTGGTAACGTTACATGTACGTATAATGATTACGTCACATGTCTAAATATAGAACGTCAACAGTGATTTTATTGCATAATAACGCAGACTTTCGGTTCTCCTATGTTAAATAGGGAAAATTGCGAGTCGACTTAGGGGCGTAGACAACTTTTATTCAACTTGTAGATGCAAACTTTACTGAGGACGGTATACGTAAATCATGCATAAGACTAAAACACACTCGATTCGACCAAACGACTTGAAACCACTTCCAACACCAACCCGCCTGTTTTATTGTATTTTACGGAGTTTTAAAAAGGTCAATTTCTTGACCAACTTGTAGGCCCGGGCTTTCATGACCTTATAATAGCTACGCCACTGGTCGAATAAATAAATTTGAGTTTGTAATTTCTGTTTATATGTTTTATATGTTTTACGTTACATAGGGATTTTTGACAACCAGCAACCACAAGATGATGCGGAAGCTGGCCCAATCATACCGTCAGGCAATGTAGTTGGAGTCAATGGTGAGGAAACAGAAGCAAAAGTGGCACTCCTTAATACTTAAATCTACAAGAAATGACATAATATAATTGTTACACGTTTTCATGCACATTATTCAATTACATCACCTGTGGGAAACAATGACAAAGATGTATTGGGAGACGATGGATGTCCTGTGTCACAAACGTGTGCTGTCTTGCCATTTTACCTTAGTGATATGTAAGTAAGGCTCAATATGTCATATTATATTAAAATGTAATAAAATGGTGACAACTAGAGCAATTTAAGCAAGTCAGCAAAAAGTCTTGTCCATCAAGAATTATCATATATTGATTTATTTTGAATTGAAAGATTTTATTTTGTAACCACGCTTGACATTGACATCATCTTTCCGAGACAACACTCTCACTGAGAAGAAAAAAATTGTCGTCACAACATTTGAGAAGTGACAGACTGATTAATTTAATCGAAATTCTGCCGTTGTTTCACTGCTTATGATTTTTATAGCGGGAAATATTTATTTGCCTTAACAAAATGCAAATTTTTTCAAAAGGTCGAAGGTTTAACTGAGAAGAAGATATGTTATTTTGGTATAATTGTTTTGTTTTGTAATTATTACAAATATTGTGTTATACATGTACATGTTAGTTATATTTTTTACAAAAGTACACAGTTATGATCGTATATTTTTTGCTCAAATGTTTAAATGTGATGTTTATAAGCAAAGGTATAAATATATTTTTTTATATTTTTCTTTATTAAATGTTAAATGAGATCTGTTGTTATTAGATGTAATACTTTAGATAAAAGTTTTAAATGTGATAAAGATTATGTGATATTTTGTTTTAAAACAATTCAATATCTGTTATATGAATATATATAATATCTGGTCATGCAACCTACACTTGCCAACAGCACCCATGTATGATTCTTTGGTGGTTTATGGTTATGTGTAATACGAAATACTTTTAACTTAATTATTCATTGTATTACAGACCTTCTTCTACATGTACCTATTCATTTTAAATTTGAATACATGTATGTATCTCTTATTTCTTAGCAAATTGTTAAAAAATTAAAATGATTTCACATATAGCATACATTCAAAAGGTTACGCTTACACACTATAGTATAACAATTGATATATCATATACTAGTAGATAAAACTTTAATTGGCTAAAACCTGTATGATAATTACAGAAAGGTCAATGAAACAAATATTAATGTGTAACTATTCTCAAATATAAACAACAAACAATAATATTTAATGAAAGGTGTTTTTAGCTAATTTTATCCATTTAAAAATATCTTCTTTTTTTCACTTGTATTTTTTTTTAGTATTGATCATATTTGTTGGACCTTTATTTTTATCTTTTATAATTGAAGTAAATATTGTTAATATATTATGTAAGGCATTGTTGTTCTTTGAAGGCATTAACCATTAAGTGCTATAGGTATATGGACTTTATACATATTAATGTAACATTTACTTACTATATTAATTTCTATTGGGATTTTTGAATTATTATTGTAAGAAATTCATTGGTGCAGAGTGTTCTCTTTTTTCAATAAGATTACTTTAGTCTTTAGTCTATGTTCGCATAGAAGAACTATCATGGACACGGGGGAGGAAGTGTTATACGAGGGATGGAGTTCTTATGATAATTAACTTGTTGAGGAGTTCTTGTGATAACTGTCACGGCGTTCGTCGGAAAACTATTGTATATACTGCAAAACACTCGTCAAAAATGGTAATTTGCATCGATAAAAAGTGAGTTAAAGGTGCTAAATTAAACTTTAATGATTAAGCTTGCCTTACATATTGTATTATGTGTCAAAACTTATTCATAGTTCATTTTTCATCGCCTCTTGCTTAAAATCTGGTAGTTTTGAGTAAAATTTTCAAATTATTTGCCAAATTCGCAAGTATTGACCTGTTTATTTCAAGACTTCATCCTTGCCATACATAATTACCTAATTATAATGCAAAATTGCAAACATAAAGCCCCGACTAACAATTTTATACCAAATTTCTCAAATGTCCCGGAGTTCTTGTGATATCTAAAAATATGTCCTGGAGTTCTTATGATAACTTTTGTTACTGCCAATGTGTTTCTTGCGCTAAATTACGGCACGTTTTAGCGTTTTTTATTATTCAAAGTTGTAAATACTCATGAAATATAGTACGCTCTTCCTTTGCACAAACATGAGGATATATGGTTGGTCTTGATCGAGTGCCTGCAAAGGATAAACAGGTGATAGGCTATCATCTACAGTAAAGATTGAATCAGCAGCAGTATCATGGCCTAAACCACAAAACAAAAATGTCTCAAAACTTACACGTTGTTCTCAACTATCTTTCTTAAGCAGATAATATATAGTTGTGCATCGCTTATCTAAGGGCTAAGTAATTTTAATATTGTATACCATAATAAAGAAGTACATGTATAAAACCGGGATAATTTCTTCAAACCTATGTTTCCAAAAAGTACGACAATGTGATGAAAACTCAACTGCGGTTGGCTCTATAACTACCGATCTTTCTAACAAATTTGCAAGTCCCTCCAGATTAAAACGAAATAAGTTTGACTAAAATATTTTTTGTTATCCATTACAGCAAAATTAACAGAGTTTCCTCCACTAAGATTACATAGGGGAAGTACCCATCAAACATCGGCAGAAAAATATACATGTAGACACCATACTTAAGCGCATTTTATCATAAAAGTCAATGCTCTACACCAATCTTTTGTCCAGTCTACGAAATTTGGGTCAGAAAAAAATACCATAAAATGAAACAGGGATAAGATAGCTCAGTAATATCATTTTAACTAAAGTACACTCAAAACCAACATTATATATCCTCATTTTGTGCAAAAAATGAGCGTACTACATTTCATAATGATTTACAACCTTACTGAATAATAAAAAACGCTAAACGTGCCGTGATTTAGCACAAGAAACACATAGGCAGTAACAAATATTATCATAAGAACTCCAGGACATATTTTGAGGTATCACAAGAACTTCGGGACATTTGAAAATCGGGAATAAATTTGTTAGCCGGGACTTTATGTTTGCAATTTTGCATTATGATTAGGTAATTATGTATGGCAAGGATGAAGACTTGAAATAAACAGGCCAATACTTGCGAAATGGCAAATAATTTAGAAATTTTACTCAAAACTACCAGATTGTAAGCAAGAGGCGATGAAAAATTGACTATGAATTAGTTTTTTACACATAATACAATATGTAAAGCAAGCTGAATCATTAAAAAAGCACCTTAAACTCACTTTTTAAAGATGAAAATTACCAATTTTGATGAGTGTTTTTGCAGTATATACAATAGTTTTCCGATGAACTCCGTGACATTTATCACAAGAACTCCTTAACAAGTTATCATAAGAACTCCATCTCTCGTGTAACACTTCCTCCCCCGTGATGGTAGAAAGTTTATTTTTTAGATAAGGGTATTATTTTAATTTACATGTACAAGGTATGTGTTCGTATAACTGTTTTTATGCATTAAGTTTAATTGTGTACATGGTTGTTTTGTAATGTTTATTTACATTGTAACTGCATTAAGTGTTTAATTTACTTCGTAACTGCATCAAGTGTTTAATTCATGTGAAACGTGATTGTTGGATGTTATATGCAAAACCATTATTGACTCTTTTACATTGCTCCACAACATTAAATAATATTTGCAATGCCGTATTCGTGGTTGTATTCATTGGTTGTATATATATATTTATGGACTGATATGTATGTTTTTCACATCACTTTTATCACAGGTTATGTATATATTCATGTCGTGTTCTTAAAAGTCACATTATTCAGTAGCAATATTCAATTATTGATTTTCAATTGTTATTATGTTTTCTGTATGTTTCGAATGAATTGTACGAAACAAGAAGTTTATGTGATACTAAAATCATCTGAAATAAAAATAGTATTATAAACAATATGGTACGAATTAAATGTAATAATTTAACGTCAAAGATAGCATAATTGATTTCAAATTTTGTAAATTTGAGAACAAATTATTATTTTTATTATTATTATTATTATTATTATTATTATTATTATTATTATGTTAAATGACATGATTCAGTCATGGTATTTTGTTCTTTTTAAATTATAGAAAATTTTAAAGATTAGACATTTTTATCTTAAAAACATATACCGATATTTAGATTAAAGTTGTACATTATTCAATAATCTTGCCTTTAGGACAATGTAACCAATAAAGTTTGTACTTCATATTACATGAATGACAAACTTTAAACTCATAATGTTAAAACTGCAGTAAAGGAAGTCATAAAATTTTGCTATAAAATGACTGCTGATTGTCTACATAAGTGCAAAGCAATATTATTTGATCAAACTGTCTTCGATATTTTTAATTGTTAAACCACGAAATATGTGTTTTTAGTCCATATTAAAGTTTAATTTTGTTATATTTATAGGAAAATTATATCAAATAAATTTGCTTGAATAAATTATTTGTTATTTTTTAACCTATTCCTCCTGGACAGTTAAATGTATTCCAAGCTTGTATTTTGTGAAAAGGAAATAGTTAATCCATTAGAATTTTACGCGTCTTATAATCCAGGGAAATAGGGCTATTTTAATCACGTTACAATTTAAAATATAGTGTTACATTATGGCCGTATAGTACGCGGGGTAACGGGCTAGTAGTCTACCGGGTTAACAGTGTGAACTGAGCGGATGAGCAGTCTAGCGGCCTAACAGTGTGAATTAGGCGGGCTAGCAGTCTAGCGGTCTAGCAGTGTGAACTGGGCGGGCCAGCGGGTTAAACTCTAAAACTTAACTTATTCAACATGAAAATGTTATGATACATTACCTGGCAGTGTGAACTGGGCGGGCTAACAGTGTAGCAGGCTAGCAGTGTGAACTGGGCGGGCTGGCGGGCCAGAGGGCTAAACTCTAAAACTTAACTGATTCAACATGAAATCGTTATGATACATTACCTGGAAGTGTGAAGTGGGCGGGCTAACAGTGTAACGGGCTAGCAGTGTGAACTGAGCGGGATGGCGGGCCAGCGGGATAAACTCTTAAACTTAAGTGGTTGAACATGAAAACGTTATGATACATTACCTGGCTGTGTGAACTTGGCGGGCTAACAGTGTAGCGGGCTAGCAGTGTGAACTGGGCAGGCTGGCGGGCCAGCGGGATAAACTTTAATACTTAATTGAATCTACATTGAAACCACATGATACATTTCCAGCAGTGTGAAGTGGGTGGGCTAACAGTTAGCGGGCTAGCAGTATGAAATGAGCGGATTGGCGGGACAGCGGGCTCAACTTTAATACCTAATTGAATTTACATGAAAATGTTATGAAACATTTCCTAACGGTTTGAAGTGGGCGGGCGAACAATGTAGCGGGTTAGCCGTGTGAACTGAGCGGGCTGGCGGGCCAGCAGGGTAAACTTTAATAATTAATTGAATCAACATGAAAACGTTATGAAACATTTCCTAGCGGTGTGAAGTGGGCGGGATAAGAGTGTAGAGGACTAGCGGTGTGAAATGGGCGGACTGGCGGGCCAGCGGGCTAAACTTTAATACTCAATTGAATCCACTTTAAAAATTCTTGATACATTTCCAGCAGTGTGAAGTGGGCGGCCTGACAGTGTAGCGGGCTAGCAGTGTAAACTGGGCGGGCTGGCGGGCTAGCAGTGTGAACTTAGCGGGATGGCGGGCCAGCAGGGCTAAACTCTAAAACTTTACTGGTTTAGCATGAAAACGTTATGATACATATTCTAGCAGTGTGAAGTGGGCGGGTTAACAGTGGTGCGGGCTAGCAGTGTGAACAGAGCAGGCTGGCGGGCCAGCGGGCTAAACTTTAATACTTAATTGAATCTACATGAAAACGTTATGAAACATTTCCTAGCGGTGTGAAGTGGCGGGGTAAGAGTGTAGAAGGAACTAAGCAGTTGAAATGGGCGGAACTGGCGGGCCGCAGCGGGATAACACTTTAATACTACAATTGAATCGCACTTTAAAATTCTTGATACATTTCCAGCAGTGGTGAAGTGGCGGCCTGACAGTGTTGCTGGCTAGCCAGTGTAAACTGGGCGGGCTGGCGGACAAGCAGTGTGAACTGAGCGGGCTGGGGATAAACTCTAAAATTTAACACTGGTTTAAGTATGAAAACGTTATGATACATATTCTAGCAGTGTGAAGTGGGGCAGGCTTAACTCTAACCTTAACTCGATTGAACATGAAAACGTAAAGATACATTACCTGGCAGTGTGAAGTGGGCGTGCTTACAGTTTAGCGGGCTAGCAGTGTGGACTGGGCGGGCCAGCGGGTTAAACTTAAATACTTTACTGAATCAACATTAAAACATCATGATACATTTCCTAGCAGTGTGAAATGGGCGGGATGACAGTGTAGCGGCCTAGCAGTGTAAACTGAGCGGCCTGGCAAACCAGAGGGCAAAACATTATAAATAATTTATCAACATGAAAACGTTATGAAACATTTCCTAGCAGTGTGAAGTGGGCGGGCTAACAGTGTAGCGGGATAGCAGTGTGAAATGGGTGGTCTGGCGGGCCAGCGGGCTAAACTTTAATACTTAAATGAATCAACATGAAAACGTTATGAAACATTTCCTAGCAGTGTGAACAGGGCGGGCTAGCAGTGTAGCTGCCTTGTAGTGTGAAATGGGCGGTCTGGCGGGCCAACGGGGTAAATTTTAATACTTAATTGAATCACCATTAAAACCTCATGATACATTTCCTAGCAGTGTGACGTAGGCGGGCTGACAGTTTATCGGGTAAGCAGTGCGAACTTGGCGGGCTGGCGGGCCAGCGGGCTCAACTTTAATACTTAATTGAATCATCAAGAAAACGTTATTAAACATTTCCTAGCGGTGTGAAGTGGGCGGGCGAACAGTGAAGCGGGCTAGCAGTGTGAACTGAGCGGGATTGCGGGCCAGCGGGCTTAACTTTAAAACTTAATTAAATCAAACTTAAAACCTTATGATACATTTCCTAGCAGTGTGAAGTAGGCGGGCTAACAGTGTAGCGGGTTAGCAGTGTGAACTTGGCGGAATGGCCGGCCAGCGGGCTTAACTGTAAAACTAAACTGATTCAGCATGAAAACGTTTTGATACATTTCCTAACAATGTGAAGTGGGCGGTCTAACAGTGTAAAGGGCTAGCATTGTGAATTGGATGGGCTGGCGGGCCAGTGGGCTGAACGTTAATACTTAATTGAATAAACATTAAAACCTTATGGCACATTTCCTAGCAGTGTAAACTCGGCGAGCTTACAGTCTAGCGGGCTAGCGGTGCAAATTCAGCGTGCTAGTAGTCTGGTGGTCTAAATTCCATACTTAATGATTTTTACACTAAAACGATATGATGCATTTGCTAATAGTGTGAACTCGGAGGGCTGACAATGCTTGTTTCATATGGTATACACGATCCCTGAGAATTGTCACAAATATGTACAGTAAATGTTTTAAAATCAGTATTGATATTCAAATGATGTATTATATACAGAATAAAAAACGATAATCGTATCTGAAACAGAAAAAAAAAACACTGCAACACAAGATTTTAGTAGGGCAAACAAATGTAGAACCTGATGTAGTGAAGCAGAAGATGCACCAGAGGTACATACATAGCTGTATATTTCGTACAATGACAGAAGCATGTTCATAAATATAAGGACATCTAGGAATCTAGCGTTTTATTTAGGAGTAGATCTGTGGTCTGGTGGTTATTACATATGTATAATGCAGGGGTCTTGAGTTCGATACCCCGCTCCTGCCTAACATTACCAACGGTCTTTCGGATGCGACTTTAAACCGAGGTCCCGTGTATCGGTGCTTTACACCGGGCACATAAAAGATCCAGGTACGCTTCTGAAATTGGTCATCTTCTGGACGTCCTGCACTATCTTCACAAATCTAATTACGAATGCCAAATTGTAAAAAACCACAAAGCGACGGCATACCGATACCGACAGATGTACCATCAGAGTTTCCTCACTATATGGGGATTTACGTGGAATTGGCTAGGCTTGAAGTACAACAGTGTAATGCACCGATACACGGGACCTCGGTTTAAAGTTCTTATATTTATGGACAAGCTTCTGTCATTGTACGAAATATACAGCTATGTATGTACCTCTGGTGCATCTTCTGCTTCACTACATGAGGTTCTACATTTGATTGCCCTACTAAAATCTTGTGTTGCAGTGTTGTTTTTTTTTTCTGTTTCAGTTACGATTATCGTTTTTTTTCCTGTATTTAATACATCATTTGAATATCAATACTGATTTAAAAACATTCAGTGTCAATATTTGTGACAATTCTCAGGGATCGTGTATACAATATGAAACAAGCATTGTTAGCCCGCCGAGTTCACACTACTAGCAAATGCATCATAACGTTTTAGTGTTAAATTAAGTATGGAATTAAGACCACCATGCTGCTAGCACGCTGAATTTGCACCGCTAGCCCGCTACACTGTAAGCTTGCCGAGCTTACACTGCTAGGAAATGTATCATAAGGTTTCAATGTTCAGTCAATTAAGTATTACCGTTTAGTCCGTTGGCTCGCCAGACCGTCCAGTTCACAATGCTAGCCCTTTACACTGTTAACCCGCTCACTTCACACCGCTAGGAAATATATCATAACGTTTTCATGTTAATTCAATTAAGTATTAAAGTTTAACCCGCAGACCCACCAGCCCGCTCGATTCACACTGCTAGCCCGATACACTGTTAGCCCGCCCACTTCTCACTGCTAGGATATGTATCATAACGTTTTCATGTTGAATCAGTTAAGTTTTAGAGTTTAGCCAGCTGGCCCGCCAGCCCGCCTAGTTCACACTGCTAGCCAACAACACTGTTAGCCCGCCCACTTCACACTGCTAGGGAATGTTTCATTACGTTTCCATGTTGATTCAATTAAGTATTTAAGTTTATGCCGCTGGGCCGCTAAGTTTACACTGCTAGCCCGCTACACTGTTAACCGTCCACTTCACACTGCTAGGAAATGTATCATGAGGTTTTAATGGTGATTCAATTCGCTCAGATCCCGCTGCTAGCCCGCTACACTGTTAGTCCGCCCACTTCACACCGCTAAGAAATGTATCGTAACGTTTTCATGTTGATTCAATTAAATATTTAAGTTTATCTGGGATATGTATCATAACGTTTTCATGTTGAATCAGTTAAGTTTTAGAGTTAAGACCGCTGTCCAGCCAGTCCGCCCAGTTCACCCTGCTAGACCGCTAGACTGTTAGCCCGCCCAGTTCACACTGTTAATCCGCTAGACTGCTAGCCCGCCATGTTCACACTGCAATTCCGCTAGACTTCTAGTCCGCTCAGTTCACACTGTTAGACCGCTAGACTGCTAGCCCATTACCCCGCGTACTTCACATCCATAATCACACTCATAACAGAGATGACATCTGATAACGAAATCGTCTTTGAATGTTATCTTGTATTTTTATGTCATTTGTTA